TTCACTAACAGAAAGTTACATCAATGCTGGATTGATCAATGCAGTTAAATGTGCAATTGCATGACGGAAAGATCTGGAATACTGTGAGAATGACCCAAGCTTGACACAAGAGATGAATGAGCGTTTGGCATCTGAAAAAAAAGCACCATGGACTTGTTCAGCAGGGTTGCTACAAATATTGGTTTTTGTAAAATTGCAATGTCTGCAAAGGGCAATAAAGTGGAGCATGATAACGCAGTGCCTGTCATCACAGGCTAGGGTCAAGACTCTGAACAAGGGCCTGAGCTCAGAGCCTTCCCCATCACTCTGCCCCTTCCTCTTCTTTGCTGCCTAATACTTCCCAAACTTGTCTCTTCCTTGGAAAGTTACTGGCATTTCTTCCATTTTTATTTTAAAGTTATGGTTTGGGTGGAAATTTACAGAGGAAATGGGTTTTCCATTCAACAATTCATACACATTTTGTGTTGTGACATTAATTGCAACACCTACAACACAAGAGCACTCTAGCACTCTTCCCACTCCTGACCTGCATTTCCAGTTTCCACTAATCTTTCTTCTCTTAGCTGTTCCTACCTTCAGAGCTTCCTCTCTGGACAAAGGATATGTTTTGATTTAAAGTATCTTCCTTTCATTGTTGCCCCCACTCTTGGCCCTCTTCCTTCATAGCCACCTCCTCTCTTCCCTGAGATGCTTTTTCTTGTGACCCACTAGCCTGAGATACAGGACTCTAGGATTCCTCTTGAGCTTCTTGTACTCAATGTTTCCCTTGACAACACACTTTTACAGATTTAAAACATTTTCAAAGCCATAATCTATTCCAAACAAACAAAAGTGCTAGAATAACCATTCACTGTTGTTCACCAGGCAGTTTTGACTGTTTTCTCACTCAGCTATCTTTGCTGTAGATGTTTTTAAAGAAAGAAACAAAATACTATATAAAGTTATTAAACTGAGGAGGAAAAAGAGAATACTTCAAGAATTTTTTAAAAAGTGTATTCACATAAAAGAACAAAGAAAAAGAAATTACCTTTTTATTATCATGCCTATTCTTTTATCCAACTGCCATCAAGTTGGTTTAGTCAGCAGCCCAACACATTATCCATAATGCCACCACTATCCTTTTCTTCTCTTCCAACAAGCAAGAAAGGAACCTTGGTAGTGTCGTGTATAATGTGTCTGGTTGATAAGTTAAAGGTCCGCAGTTCAAATCCCCTAGCTGCTCCATGAGAGAAAGATGGGCAGTCTCTTCCTGTAAATATCTACACCCTTGGAAAACCAATGAAGGGTCACTATGAGTTAGATGTTACTTGAGAGCAATGGGTGGGCTAGGCTGGGGGTTTGAAGGCACTCAGAAGCACTCTGGAAGAAAAGTCTGGCAAAGTTTTTCTGAAAGGTGCCAGCATCACAAAGTTGATGGGTTGTAGTTCTATGCTAACACAAGAGATAGCCATAAATCGGAACTGTCTTCATGGCCACTGGTTTGGCTTTTGGCATAAACAACTTCCTGAGGTTGCTAGTTGCTTCTAAGCCTAATTTTTAACTTTAATTGCATGTATTTGTTTGTATGGAGAAACATCAGATAGGATTGCTTTGCAAATATGGTTTAAAAACTTTACATACACATAACCTATCCATTGCATCCTGCATCAGTTTGCTTTGTCTGTTACTATATATGATGATTTTGAAGATTTCAGTGTGGGCCCACCACACCTTCCTGCTCCATCCTCTATTTCTCCTGACGGTCCTTAGATCCTGCTTCAATGTTGCCTCCCCCAGGAAGCCTTCCTTGCTGGGCTGGGGCCCTTTACTGCTCTTTGGTAAGTTTTGCCTTCTGTGTCTCAGAACTTATTCTAACCCACTGTAGGCTATCTGCTTAGCCACTACCCCTTAATGTTCTGGTCTGGGACAGGGATCAGTAGGCACCTCTGCATTCCTTTCCACTAGACAGAGCCCCACCTTCCTTTTCTTTTTGAGGGGTGAGAATGGGTGTGGAGGGGTGTTTAATCATAGGGTCACATAATTTGATGGGTGGTGGAAATGGAAAAGATCTAGTGTGAAAAACAATGTATTTGAACTTTGTAAACAAAAATAAAATAAATAAAAACCCCAAACCAAACAAACATAAATAGCAAAGCCAAAATAAATAAATAAAAAGGTCAGCAAAGCCAAAATAAATAAATAAAAAGGTTAATTGCCTTCTGAAAAAAGAATCCAAACTTTTTTGTGCTGTTTGTATAAAAAACATTTACAGAGTACACTGGTATTCCATTAAATCATTTCTACATTGTTTATTACATATTACATAGATTACAATCCCTACATTGTACCATCACTCTTTCCACTTCGTCACTGTGGTTCTAATTTCCATTCATCCCTGTCATCTCTTTTCCTGCCTTCTGAGCTTTCTAGCTGGGCTGCCCTTGTGACTCTGTGTGTTTGATGGTCCCAAGGACTGAGGATCTCCTTAACATTGTTGTTCACTGTATAGATTTATTATTTGGCTGTTGGCTGTGCCACAGGAGTGAGTTTAGTCCCAAACTCAAAGGGCAGCTCAAGGCCATAGTCTAGTTGAGGGTCTCCTGATCCATTTCATCACCCAGCAAAATAACATAATCATACGTGTAACTAAATGAACAAAATTCACAATTGTTGAGTCAGTTTGAATTGCTTGCCACCACTCATGAGTTGCTGAGGTGAAGAGTTTGAGTACGTGTTGATTGACCAAATGAAAAACACATCTGTCTTGGAAGAAGTGCAGTCATAATGTTCTTAGAAACAAAGAGAGACTTTGTCTCACATTAATTTGCACATATTGTCAGGAGGGGCCAGACCCTGGAGAAAGACATGATGCTTAGGAAAGTAGAGGGACATCAAAGGAAAGGTAGACCCTCAACCAGATGGACTGACATCATTGCTGCAACAATGGGCTCAAGCACAACGGAGGCTGGGAAGATGATCCGAGATCAGGGAGGGCTTTGCTCTGGTCCTATGTGGAAGAGCTTGCTTGGAGCCACCTTGATGTCACCCAACAACATTTCTCTACAGGAGGAGACATCTCGTCTTTCTCCCATGAGTTGTTGGTGGGTTTGAACTGTTGACCTTTCGGTTAGAAGTCTGACAGGTTATGCACCAGAGCTCCTTCATACATGTGCCATATGTGCATTAAGCCACACTGCTTTGGAGTTGGTACTGATGCATGATGACCCTGTGCAGGGTGAACCTCCATGGGGGTGATTCTGTGTGGGGTGACCCTGCATGGGGTGACCTCTGAGCTTGTAAATCTTTCTGGAAAGAGAGTGTATTTGCATAAAACCATGACTCTATCGTACCTCTCTGACATTTACAGAAGCCACTCAGAGGTGAAGACAGCACCATCTCCTACACACTGCCCCTCCCTCAGGGCTCCAAGACAGCCCTGCAGGTGTGCAGAGCACAGCAGCCATATTGCAGCATCATCTCCAACTTGGGCACACTGTAGACACCTTCTTGGCATTTGTTTGATAACCATAACCATGATCCTCATTGCAGTGACTGAGCTGCACCACTCATAGTTCTCAACTCTCTCCCTGCGCAATTTCACTGAAGCATACACCAGTTGTGCAAGCACCCATTTGACAAGTGAGAAATCAGAGGCTTAGAGAAGCCAAGGGGTTTCCCAGGCAGCATCCAGGAAGTGGCAGCTGGTCAGCTGTGGATCTAAGCTGCTTCCAAGGAGGGTAGGAACCCATCCCCCCTGGGCTTCTGGTGATCTGCACTAGTCTGGCCCTGTCATTAACCTGAGCAGGAACATCAGCATTCACAGCTGTCATTAGAAACCAGGATGACAGGCAGAACCAGGTTCACACCCTCATCTCAGCCTGATGGACAGGCAGGGCAGAGCTCACACCCTCGTCCCAGCCCTGTTCAGTTTCACCTGCACAAAGGCTGACACATAGGGAGGAGTAGCTTGTGCATCTCAGGCCCTCTGATCTGTGATAACTGCACTTCTCATAGATTTATAGCTTCAGAAACCCAGTGGAGGGGTCCCTGTGGCTTTGGGACAGTGGTCATTTCCTACGTACTTGAGGCATTCTCTACATCATCATGTGGACCCCTCCCATAATCCCTGTACAATAGATACCTATTAGCACCAGCTCTGCTTTGTAGATAAAGAAACTGAAGTTCAAAGAGGTTCCATGACTTGCCTACAGTAGATACCATAAAGCCAGAATCAGAGGCATTCTACTTCCAGGCCTCATATTCTTCTCTCTGTGCTGAGCCCCTTGCCCCCAACTCCCTGCTGAATCTCAGGAGCAGCTTAAGCTGGCCCAGACCACAGAGGTTCCTAGAAAGCTTGGGGCCAAAGAGTGACTTGGAATTGAGATACTTAGAGGTTAGTGCTCACAGCAACGTGAATCATGACAGCTAAAAAAGTAGGAATAATCCAAATGCCATTAAGTGATGCTGATTTCTTGTTATGTTTGGATGAACCAGAGCTGACCCATAGCTAACCTTCCAGCAGGTTTTCAGATGCAATAAATCACAAGGAAAGATTTTTTTTCTCTCCATCTTTTACCCGTGGAGCCGCTGGTGGATTTGAACCTTTGCCTTTGGGTTGATAGCACAGATCCTTACTACTGAGCCACCAGTGTTCCCTATTAAGTGAGGTTGAGTGGGGTTTTTTAAAAAAATGTGACCTACACATTAGAATACTAATTTTGTTGTTGTTATAAGCCATCAACATCCACACATTAAGATGTTGTTAGGAGTCCTCAACATCCACACATTAGGAAGTTGTTGTTATGTGCCAATGAGTAGGAACTGACACACAGCTGACCCTCCAGTGGGTTTTCAGAGGCAGTTATCATATGGGAAAAGACTACCCAGCTTTCTTCTGCAGAGCAGATGGTGGATTGGAACCTCATGCCTTTGGGATTGTAGTACAGTTTCTTACCAGTAGGCAGTCAGAGCTCCCTTTTAGAAGCCGTCAAGTCCACTCTGCCTCCTAGCAAACCACCTACAGAAGAACAGAGCCCGCCAGTGCTGCATCTTCCTCACAGTCACTGCTGTGGTCAGCCATTGTCACAGCTGCTCAGCCCGTCTTATCATAGGTCTTTCTCTTTACCAAGCCTGGTGTTCTTCAGTCACAAAAAAGGTGGAGTTATGATACATGCTACAATGTGGATTAACCTCAAAAACATTTTGCTAAATGAAGTGATCCAACAAATCATACTTAATATCAAACCCTTTAAGTCAACTCTGAATAATTGTAATTATGTAGACACAGAACTGTCCCACAGGGGCTCCAAGACTGTAATCTTTGCAGATACAGACTGTCACATCTCATTTCTGTGGTGCAGCTGGTGGGTTTGAACTGCCAACTGTTTGGATAGCAGCCTGATCCTTTATTCACTGCACCAGCAGGTTTTCTTAAGGAATATGCACAACAGTAAACTCATAGACAAAAGACAAGAGCCGGGGTTGCCAGAGCTAGGGGAGATGGGATATTCCGTGAGTACTCAGTTTGTGTTTGAGTGGATAAAAATATTCTAAAACTAGATAGTAATGGTGACACAACATTGTGAATGTCCTAAAGGCCCCTAAAGTGTGCATTTTTAAAAACCACTAAAATGGTAAATTTTAGATTATGCATATTTTTGTTATCATCGTTAAATTTTGTGATGTCAGATATAATGCATAGTGTTATCCAATGTACAGTAGGGAACCTGACCCCTCCTAAGCCTCACACCCTTTGCTGTGTGCTGTCTTAGAGATTTGTTCCCATGAATAGGGACCATTTGTTCCGATTTGTTCCACATCTTGGAGACTCAAGGTGCAGGGCTAGGCAGCACGTATGTGCTACTCAGGAGATGTTTCCTTTAAATCTCATTCTCACAACCATCAAATCTCGTCATTACTCTTAAATGACACAGTATGCCATCATGGCTTGTACTGTAGTTTAATTACACTTAAGAGATCCTTGCTGGAAGAGTGGATCTGCTCCAAGATTCCACCCCAGCCCACTTCAGCACACAAGGAGGGGCAGAAGATGTCCAGGGTTGGCAAAGCAAAGCAAGGAGAAGCTGACACCTATTCAATACTGGGATGATTCCCATTCTCAGTGCTGGGATGAGCGTCATAGATAGCCTATGAGAGTCTGAGGAAAGGCCCTACCCCATCCTGGGCTGATCAATCAAGACAGGCTTCCTGGAGAAAGAAACCTCTAAGCCTGGCAAATGGCAGCTGAGGCACCAGGTGGTGAGTAGAGCCAGGATAAAAGGGCAGGGGCAGGACCCCACATCCTCCTTCCAGGAACAGAAAACCCTCCTTCTACCCTCTCCCAGGAACACTGGAGTGCTTCTCTGGACTCATTCTAACTTTTCGTTGCATCCAAGTCCAGGCATCCAAACACAGGCCTCTGGGGGGAAATGGAGGCTTGGGATGAGGGAGACGGTGGGCAAGGATCCACCTGGGCCAGCTCCCAGGAAATGTGAGTGAGGCTGCATGTGCATGTGCACATGCATGTAAAGGACCAGAGGGGCCTGGGTGTTGGAAGAGAGGAAGAACAGCCACGGTAACTGGCACAGGGTTTCCGATTGTGCAATGCCACAGAGAACAGCAGGGGGACTGGACCAGACCCTGGGCCAAATTGATAGCCTAACCCTAACCCTAACTCTAACCCTAACCCAGACTAGACCAGGGAAAAACTAGAGAAGGACCCCACCCAGCCCTTAGGGCTGGGAAAGGTTGGGGGAGGGATAGTCATGGAGGGGAGAGGAACTTGAAACAGAGCAAACAGGAACCTGGTGTGCAACCAGGACGCAGTAGGGTGGGAATGTGGAGAATCCAGTGTCAGGGACAGGTAGTCATGGGGCTAGATAGCAAGGGCAGAAAAGCAGCGCCTCATGCCTCCTGCACCTGGGCTGGGATCTGCTCAGGGGTGCGGTGCGGACTACACAAGTGGGCACACTGAGGGGCACTCCTACACTGTGGTCCATGCCCTTTGGCTCACAGACACTGGCAGTGCTGCCCAAGGCGGGACACACACCCTGCTCTATTTTCCTTGAGGAAAAAGGTGCAAGGCAGGGCCAAGAGTCCTGCTCCCACCCTCAATCTCTGCATCTCGAACAGGATCCCTTAAACCAGTTATTAAGAGAACACATTAATGCTTATCAAAACGGACGTGGGCCGCTGTCTCCACGCAAACACATCCAGACATGTCATTCGCTCCGCAGGGGCCTGGAAACCCCGCGGCTCAGCTATGCCTGTTGCCAGTTTTGGGGGAAAGGGAGAGGGAAAGGACACACCCCTGGGAAATAGAGAATTGCACCGCCTGGCCCCTGCCCAGACTCCCACCTCCCAGGGGTTAGAGGGGATCACTTAGCCTGGACCGCCCCGCACCCCCCCCCCAGGTCCCTCGGAGCCACTCTGAGAGTAGAGAGTCAGGTAAGGGGGCGAAGGGGTTGGGGGGAGCTGGATGAGGGAGCGGGCTGCCATCGCGCCTCGCCTACATCGACACCTCTCCGATGCAGAGAGCACCTGTGTGTCCGGGGCCATGCACACCTAACCCTGCCCCCACTTCCTTGTCCCCTTGCGCCTCTACACAAGGCCTTCCTTGGCCCTTGGCCTCCAGCACTGTGCCCTGTGCCTGGCTCCGGTCTTCGCTCTCCAGGTCCCAAGGACGTGTTCTGGGGGCCTCTCGGGGCCAGTATACAGGCCCTCGGGCCCCCAGTTTTATCCATCGCCATTCTGGAGCTCCCTGGCTGAGCGCGCCCCAGACCGTGTCCCCAGACCCCCACGGCGCCGCAGACCTCGTCAGAGCTTGGCTCAACGTCCCTGACGTATGCCCCGAGGGTGCTCTCACCTCTTAGTGTGCACCGTGGGGCTGTATTTGCCCTTGTTCCTCTTCCTGAAGAGCGAGTTCATGGTGGCGGCTGGCCGGCACACCGATGGGGCCCAGGTGAGCAGCTGCTGGCGGGCGGGCGGCTCTACTGGCAGAGGCGGGGCGCCGGGGCCACTCCACTGCAGCCGCGCCTCCGGG